CATTTAAGTCACATAAATAAGACAATTAAAATTAAAACTTATGCTAAATAATCATATTGATTAATTTTCCATTAAGGATAAAGTTATGAAATCTCAAAGTGAAATCATGTCACAATCCTCCGTTGTACTAATAAAATTATTTTGAGAAATTCCTTGATCCATGCAATTTCACCTGTGATCATTATTGTAATATCCCAAAATTTTGGGGTATTTTAGCATTAAATTGAGGACTTATTTGAGGAAAAATTTTATTTTGGGGCTTAATCGTAAAATCTTTAAAGGTTGAGGGACTAAAAAGAAAGGAAATTAGGATAAGGATGAATTGCTTTTTCTTTTCCTTTTTTTCTTTCTTTTTCTTCTTTCCTTCCTTCCTCATCAGACCCGCGTGCCCTGCTCTTCTTCTCCCCCGACCCTCTGCACTTGACGAGCCCACCCCGTCACCGCCACCCATTTCCGATCGGAAATCCGGCAAAGCTTGGGGATTTCTCCCTATTTTCTTGTCTTAGAACACCTGTTGAACCCAGAAAATCTCAGATCTGCGTCTTCCTCCCTCTGCTGTCTGTCGGCTGTTATGTGGGTGTGAGGTTTTTGGGCTTTTTCTGGTAAGATTTAGCCATGAATCCCTCTCTTCAACTTTGATTTAGGCTGGGTTTGGTTTAATTGCTTTTGTTCCTTCCAATTTTTGGGTAGCTGCGAGTTCCCCTGCAGAATTTCTTCTTCTCTGCCGTCGGCTTCACCCCCCCCTGCTAGGCTCGGTTTTGCTTGCTAAATTCTGGTAAGTAGTCGTCTTTTCCAAGCTTAAAATGACACATTTAATGGCTGGGTTTTGTCCATTAGTTGATGCTCTGTGTTGTCCGAATCTGCTGGGATAAGGGATGAATTTGGCAGCCCTTTTAAATGTGTTTTGTGCTTGGTTTATGTAGGAATTTCGTTAATTGGGCTGTTGTGATGTTGTGTAGGAGTAATCCCGTGACTTAGCCATTGTTGGCCAAAGCCGTGGGTCTCCATTGCTTGTTCGGGAAATTGGAATGAATTTTGGTAGCTTTAAGCTGTATTTTTAAATGTGGTTTAAGTAGAAAATTAGCTTAATTTGATTGTTGTGAGGTTAATTGTGTGAAACCCCCATGAATTAGCTATGTTTTGCTAATTTGGGAGTTGAAGTTACTGTTCACGGGGTACTGTTCATAGGCACTGTTCACACACCGAAGGCTAATGATTAACGGGGATTTAAAGGTTTAGTTTGTGATATAAGAATAAATGTGGAGATGTCCGGTTATGGGGAGATTGATATGGAAATAGCCTTGTGATTAGGAATGATCCTAATGATGATTTCAGTGTGAATTTGTGATAGTCGGTATTAATTCTGAGGTGTTTTGATTAGGTTCCCGATCGTTCTGTCAGTTAGCACTGAGATTGAGTGCTCGGTTTTATGCGAGTGAGGTAAGTAAATCATGGTAAAGCCCTTCGATTTCAAAGCATGTTTTAATTGTTTTGAGATGGTGGCAAGGTTGTAATTGATTTTAAATTGATTTTACCAGCACCTGAGTGTGATTAAACTGAAATGGAAGTTTTGATGATTTTAATGAGAATTTCATGGTTTTTCTGGAAATGAGCATGATTGACTTGAAATAAGATTATTAGTCTTTTGTATTGATTTGAGCATGTCTACTTGAAATTTAAGTGATCGTCCTAATGATTTGAAAGTGATTGGTGAATTAAGATTTTTCTGTAAATTTTTGCTTGTCTTGTCTCCGATGTGGTTATGTTATTAATGATCCTGCTTTGATGAGTTGAGATTGATTGTGAATTTCGGAAGTTCTGTAATCCTACATGGTTTTGTCTCGGATATAGTCATGATTTCCGATCCCTACTAGTGGGTGTGTAGCATCCCTGATCCCCGCTAGTGGGTGTAACGCTAGCACTCCTGATCCCCGCTAGTGGGTGTAGCGCTAGCATTCCTGATCCCCGCTAGTGGGTGTGTAGCTTCCCTGATCCCCACTAGTGGGTGTAACGCTAGCAATCCTGATCCCCGCTAGTGGGTGTGTAGCATCCCTGATCCCCGCTAGTGGGTGTAACGCTAGCACTCCTGATCCCCGCTAGTGGGTGTAACGCTAGCACATGTCGACATGTTTACTGATATGACCGGTTTGTTCTGTCGCCTGCCAGTGGGTTGTTATAACACTGGCCATGACTTCTAGATGAGACTACTGAACTGAGTTTTCTTCTACATTAGCGGTTTGTCAGGAAACGTTTTGTTGTTGAACTGAATCCGATTTTTGTTATTGAGCGTTTGTTATTTTGAACTGTTTATCTGGCATGCTAACATTTTACTCACGGGCTATCCATATTTTACTTACTGAGATATTTTATCTCACCTCGTTTTCCTTGTCCACCATTTCAGGAAGTGAAACCGAGGACGGGGAAAACCAAGGGGGGTGACGAATTAGAAGGCTAGCCATCTTGTAAAGTGAATATAGATTTGAGATGTAGATCGTGATCTTAAGAGTTAGAGTGTATGTGGAGATTTTTGGTATCAGAGCAGACTGTAAAGATTTATCTTGAGATTTTGTGGTATCAGATTGTGATTTGAATAAGTTCTGAGCCTTGTGCACTTGTGGGACCCATCTCACAAGTGTACGGCGTCTGCCACGTCCCCGGATTTGGGTTTTGGGGCGTGACAATTATTTTGACAAACATTTTCTCTAACTCCATTGTGTTTTCTAATCTATGATGCTCAAATTTACCATAGTCCTTGTTCTCCTATAATAAATATAACATATTAGAAGTTTAAAGTTAAAATTAACAAAGCAACATGCAAAAACTCAAAACCATTAACAATAAAGGAATATAACTAA